CCAAGGCGACAATTGCGGAGGCACGAAGACCAAAGTCAAGAAAGGTGACCCTCGCTAAAGGGAGGAATAGAAACATGGCGGAGTGCAAAGGAACACAGGACGAAGGGATAGGCGTAATGCTTAGCGTCCCGGAACGGGAAGTGGAAAACAGCTTGGTGGAGAGTGAAGAGCCGAATGTCGAAAGGGGAGAACAAGTGACAAGCAACGTGGACCCGACTACGGCTTGGAAGATGGAGATGGCCACCTTCTTCCGACAAATGAGGGATGAAGGGCGAGTAATAACTGAGGGAATATTGAAGGAGAATCGGGAAGGAACTGGAGGAGGTGCGAGGAATCAGAGTGAATCTGTGGCTGATCAAATGTTCCGAACGAAAATGGCAGCGACAGAAGACGGGGCCGATATGCGGACCTTTCTGAGCCTGGCGGAGCAGGAATTTCGAGAAATGAAGATCGCAGAGGATCAATGGGGATTACTGGTGAGGAAATATTTAACAGGACGAGCTGTCAAGCAGTGGGATTACGTATACCGATCAGGAATCGATATGACAGACTGGACTCTGGTACGCACCAGACTTTGCGAAAGGTTCCGTGGATTACCGCGGGATAGCATGATACTCCAGATGAGAGATAATGTATGGAAGGGAGATTACAACGAGTATAGTAATGCATTCTCGGATATAGTAATTATGGGAGAAGAGGTTCCAGAACAAGATTTGGTTATGTTCTTCCTTGCGGGACTACCTGAGGATATAGGAGATAAATTGACGAAACGTGGGAGGAGGGAATTTTCGACTTGGAACGAAGCGGCAGCCGCGTTGAGGGAATATGTCATCCCGCTGAACACGTGGCGAGCGAAGAGGAAACGTACAGTACGGGAAGTGCAGGGTGTAGAAAGGCCGCAGGCCAAGGAAGATAGCAGCTCCAAGGAGAACGAAGAGTGGAATAAGAACAAAAACGAAGGCACTAACAGTGTAACCCGAAGACCCTATCCGACGGGAAGAATGGCGACAGACGGGGAACGAGATGCATTTCGTTGTTTCGAGTGCACTGGAAGGGGCCACATGGGGAGGGAATGTCCCTTGCGCAATGGAGTAGTGAGACGGAGAGGAGAAACTTGCTCGAAACGCGGCGGGAAGGATCATTCCGCTAGGGACGGTGCAACGACACGTCGAGTGATGGGTGGAAACCAGAGGGTAATTACGGCA